CAAGTCCGCCCGCTCTCTTCAGCATATGCATACGACACGGTGCATGTGAAATGACAGCACAGCAAGCACAGCAGGCACAAGCAGCACAGCAGGCACGCACCAGCAGGAAAGCTCCCCAGCCGTCTAGAGGCGAGCACTTCACCTCGACCTGCTGACACGACAGGTGCAGGACGCCAGGTGGAGGGCAGGCCGAATGGCAGATAGGTAAGAGCAAGGAAACATACCGAAGAGAGCAACATAATGCAGAGGGAGTAGCAGATAGCAAAGAGCAGAAACAGGGACATACTGGTGGAAGGATGGTCATCCCGTCTCTCCCATTCTCTACTTCCTTATTCTCGGATCTGTAATATCCACCCTTCCCTCCCTCCCTCCCTCCCTCATCATCCCATGGCACGGCACCTGCACGGAGTGGCGGCGGGAGAGCTGCATGTTGCAGCACGACTGTGGCTCCGTGCTGCCATGTGCATGCGGGCACACGCACGCAGAGAAGGGCAGCGGGGGGCACAGGGGGGCAGAGGAGGGCAGGGGAGGGCAGGGGAGGGCAGGGGAGGGCAGGGGAGGGCAGGGAGGGCAGAGGGGGGAAGAGGAGGGCAGAGAGGGGCAGAGGGGCAGGGGAGGGCAGGGGAGGGGGTTCGGCTTGAGATGAGGCATGACACACGGCGGGATACAGAGGCACGTGTGAGGGCTCTCACTCCGTGCAGTGATGCCTCTCTCTCACCCCGTGCACTGCCCCTCTCTCTCACCCCGTGCACTGCCCCTCTCTCTCACCCCGTGCACTGCCCCTCTCTCTCACCCCATGCACTGCTCCTCTCTCTCACCCCGTGCACTGCCCCTCGCTCTCACCCCGTGCACTGCCCCTCTCTCTCACCCCGTGCACTGCCCCTCTCTCTCACCCCGCGCACTGCCCCTCGCTCTCACCCCGTGCACTGCCCCTCGCTCTCACCCCATGCAGTGCCGGCAGGTGTCGGGGTCGCACTCACGGCCGGCGCGGCGGCAGATGCACGAGGTGGTGTTGCACTTGCCCTTGCACGCGCACCCGGGGAACCTGTTGGGGCAGTCCGCGCCGCACCTGCCACACACCCATGGGGGGCCGGGGACAGTGCAGTGGTTGAGGGTGCAGGTGGGTGATTGGATTGGGTGGGTGGGTGCGAGGGACTCACAGGTGCATGCATGCGACTTTCACACGTGTGCGTCTTGGGTCTTCATGTGTTCATGTGTTAGTGTGTTAGTGTGTTCATGTGTTAGTGTGTTGGTGTGTTCATGTTACATCTGTTATTGTGTTAGTGTGTTAATGTGTTCATGTGTTCTTCTGTTAGTGTGTTCATGTGTTATTGTGTTAGTACGTTAGTGTGTTCATGTGTTATTCTGTTACTGTGTTCATGTGTTATTGTGTTAGTATGTTAGTGTGTTCCTGTGTTACTATGTTACTGTGTTCATGTATTATTGTGTTAGTGTGTTCATGTGTTATTCTGTTAGTGTGTTCATGTGTTATTCTGTTAGTGTGTTCATTTGTTATTCTGTTAGTGTGTTCATGTGTTATTGTATTATTGTGTTAGTGTGTTAGTGTGTTCATGTGTTATTCTGTTAGTGTGTTCATGTGTTATTGTGTTAGTGTATTAGTGTGTTCATGTGTTATTTTGTTAGTGTGTTCATGTGTTATTGTGTTTTTGTGTTAATGTGTTAGTGTGTTCATGTGTTATTCTGTTAGTGTGTTCATGTGCTATTGTGTTATTGTGTTAGTGTGTTAGTGTGTTCATGTGTTATTTTGTTAGTGTGTTCATGTGTTATTGTGTTATTGTGTTAGTGTGTTAGTGTGTTCATGTGTTATTCTGTTAGTGTGTTCATGTGTTATTCTGTTAGTGTGTTCATGTGTTATTGTGTTATTGTATTAGTGTGTTAGTGTGTTAGTGTGTTCATGCGTTATTTTGTTAGTGTGTTCATGTGTATTTTTGTTATAGTGTTAGTGTGTTAGTGTGTTCATGTGTTATTCTGTTAGTGTGTTCATGTGTTATTCTGTTAGTGTGTTCATGTGTTATTGTGTTGTTGTGTTATTGTGTTAGTGTGTTAGTGTGTTCATGTGTTATTTTGTTAGTGTGTTCATGTGTCATTGTGTTATTGTGTTAGTGTGTTAGTGTGTTCATGTGTTATTCTGTTAGTGTGTTCATGTGTTATTCTGTTAGTGTGTTCATGTGTTATTGTGTTATTGTGTTAGTGTGTTAGTGTGTTCATGTGTTATTTTGTTAGTGTGTTCATGTGTTATTGTGTTATTGTGTTATTGTGTTATTGTGTTATTGTGTTATTGTGTTAGTGTGTTCATGGTTATTCTGTTAGTGTGTTCATGAGCACATGTGCAAGGCAACCGACCGCATGAGATATGCAAGCCACGGGGATCCAGTGCGAGTGCAACCACTTGAACAGCAACACGCCTCCCCCACCAACGCGCTACCTGCGCTGCTGCCCCCACCAACCCGCTACCTGCACTGCTTCTCGCAGAAGTTCT